ACTGAAAAAGTCCATCAAATATAGCCATTCCTACTCCACGCTGAACTTTCTCAGGGCTCCAGTCTCACATCACAAGAATAATGTTTCCTGTATGTGGAGTAGACGTTGACTGCAAGGACTGACAGCGGTGCCAAAAGTCATCTTACACTCTGCCCAAAAACATAGCCAACCCCTGTGTTAGTCCAAAATATGATCTTTTTTTCTGCATAAGTAATATCTATGTAAATACGCATGGATGGCTTCTTGATCCAAAACAAAGGCTTATTTGTGGCCTTGGTCACAAAGGCTGTTTAAACGTGCTTGGAGGTGGGGTGGGGAGGCGTTTTAATTAGAGTGGTTTCCAGACAGTCACTCAAAACACCACAGCATCATGTGTATTAAGCCCTTGCATGTTTAAATTGATGAGGTTTAGTTAAAGCGCCCCATGGCCATTTTTCAGTGCACAGGGGCTTAGTACATGTGATGCTACGGCGACACTGCAGTGTTCTAATTAAAACCCGGAGCTGACTCGATTAATCTGCTCCATGTTCCCATTTCTGCTTCACATGCCGAGTCTGCTTAAACACATTGTAATTAGAATGCATCAGACCGTGTGTACAGGCAGCCAGAGAAGGTAAGTAACCTAACACTCCAACGTAACCCTATGCTGATAAAGCAATTCCACCTCAAAATAAAATGCATATCAAGGGGTGCAGATACAATACCATTTACACATGTGCGGTCTCCCTTTATACCTAATGTTTATACTGGAGTGGACACACAATATACAGCCCTTTCCCAGTGCAAGTTCTTCTACCCTGTGAAAACTATGTAGTAAATACACAATTGTGTGTGTGCCATGTATCCATTTCAGCACACTACCGGGGACTAGCCGAACCTGCTCTTTGACCACATAGCGTGTGAAGTGTTAGCTGCACCTGGTCTAGATTTAAGTGGCTTGCTTTATGTCACCTAAACCTGGATCAGGAGTGGCACAGACAGATTTTTGTTGCTGCCAGGAGCAGCACAGGGAGCCCAAGCTAGGGTAACTCAGAGTGGCAAGAGAGCTATCAGGATTGGGGGAGGGGAGAATGGGGATGGCAGGTTTGCAGGGGGCTAGTAGGTCCAGGGTGGGGGTGTTGCTCAGTTGTCGGGTGGGGAGGTCAGGGAGCTAAGAATAGCCTAGTCAGAGTCTAACTATGCCTTGACCTTTGTTAAGACCAAATACTCAGCTGGTAGGTCAATATGAACTTTATACGAACTTTATTCTTTAAATTCTGCTTCCTAAAACTTCCTTTTATATGCAGTCTCCATTTGAAGTAAAAGCAGAATGCTTTCCCTTAAGCTCAGCTATCCAAGATCAATAGGATAGTTTTGCCTGACCTGATTAACCACACAGGGCTAGAACATAAGAATAAAACATATTTTTCCTGGCTGAAACCATCCACATATGAGATTTCCCACACCTTAAAAGGGATAAACAAGCAGCTTCATAAAGCTAAGTACCATGAAGACAATACTGAACATATTATGAGAAAGTATAACCTGAACACAGTAGTCCTTTCTACTTTCTGTCTTATTTCCAGCATTCCCACAGCAGTTTGCCTTTTGAGTCCAGCCATACATGCTTCCAGGCAAGTTGACAAGTTCAAGCACGAATTTAAATTTAATCTTTGAATATAACCCATACCTGACATCTTTAATTATTAGGCTAATGCGTCATATTTACATTAATATGAGCACTACTTAAATTCAATTATGACAATTCTTCTGTGAATTCTTTCAAAGACATTTCAGTGGCTTGGACTCTAGGCCATATAATCAGAGCTGAATCAAAGAAACAGGTTTGCTGTCTATAACCAAATTGTTTCTGTACCTGGTTGCTGACTACAGCATGCTTTGCTTGTGCTTGCATGGATGTGCCTAGCAATTTACATTCACTTTAAGTGAGGTGAATCGAAGGACAGAGACCAGAAGTCCTGTGAAATGTGGGTCCACAATAAAGGACCCACAGTAACAGATTAGATTAATGGCAGTCTAACACAGATTATATCTGCCCTTCTGCTTGAGGGCATGAGCCCATAATTTGTTATTTGTTCTTGCAGTGTGGGAATACTGCTCCTGTCAGATACTTATATTGCTGCAATGACCAGGGCAATGCTTTCATCATCAGCTGGCCAGCAGGCTGCCACCACTGCGTTCACATGTGACTTTGTTCCATCCAGGACTTTTTTCCTAGTAAATCAGACATGTGGAAAGCTGAGTTGCACCTCACCTCAGGTGGGCAATACAGCTGGGGCACAGCACTTGGCAGCACCCCATGTTCTGCACTGCCTGTAGTTGATGATGTTGTTTCTGACTTAGAAGGGCCCGAGACCCACACACTTGAAGGCCTGTTTTTCTCTCTGTGCAATCCTACCATGGGCATGACCAGCGGCAGCACTTCAGCTCCACCCCTTGTTTTCAGACAGTGAGTTGCTGGCAGGGCATTTCACAGGAGGGGCCTTCAGATTTGAAACCCCCATCCCCTCCATGGTTTGGAATAGGCCCGTTGACCTTCAGGGCACACTGTAAATCCTCTCTTTTCCCAGGCTTTTGGGGAGGGAATGGAGCTCTGAGTTTTAAAATATGATGGAGTATTTCACCCCTCCAGTCTTTGTTTCCAGAGAAGTTCCCACATTGATAGCGGCTTGTATAGTTGTCCTGTATTTTTAACATCTAGGGATGGTGCCTGGATTCCTCAGTAGCAACTTCTTACTGTTTTGTATAAATCTAAATAAACAAATGTTTGCCAAACCAGTTGGGCTATATTTATGCTAGATAAGATTTATGCTAGCTAAGGTAAACCCTGGGGGAGAACGTAGTATTAAATTTAACCATCAAATGTGCGTTAAAATAACAACTTGCCTTTTTTCTACACTAGGAACTTAAAACACATTAATAAAGATGTATTAACTGATAGTGTTAAAATCACAGCTTTTCCTACAAAAGCCAAGACTTTATGGAAAAGCAAGGAGAATATATGTTCTCTAATGTATCTAAATATAATCTTTGAAAACAAACTTCCCATGAGTCCAAAGCCCTGAGTAAAAGCCTGTTTCCCCACTGAAGTTCCTCATTAAGGATAATAGGTACTTGGTAAATCCATCCAGGCCCTCAATACAAGGGTGAATTTCACTCTTAAGACACAGGGTAGGCAGGTAAATTGGGGTGATACTTGTGTACGGAGACAGTCTTTTTCCCCGAATGCCAGTCTATGCTGATGGTAAGTAATGACTGGATCTTTAAAAAGACAGAATTGTCTGGCTTCAAATAAGGAAACAGCTAATCTGTTTAAGTACTAAATGTAGTTATGTAATTTCCCGGTGTGCTCCTCTTTCTCCCTAGGTCTCATTTTCAAATCTAAATAGTTAAGTTGACAGTGGCTGTGCATTGCAAAACAGATCATGTTACCTTATACTGCTGAGGATACATAACCGTGGAAGGACTTATCATGGGCATGCTGGCAGATTTTTGCCACATTTCTTTACCTATAACAAACACAGTAAAAAAAGAAGAGGGAGGTGCCACATAGTTATTAAGGTGCAGTGATGTATTTGTTCCACTCGAGGGAGCTCGAGCTTTTGAGTAGATAAGGTGAAATACTCCCCTCTTTATACTGAAGAACTTGACAGTGAAAAACAATCCCTGAGGAGGAAGTTAGAAGATGTGAACATTAGACAGGAGTTCTAATGACTGAGGACGATTCGGTGAGCAATAGAGAGTGTCTAGGTCCTACAGGTAACCAGCACTTTAGAAAAACTAACTGGTTCCTTCCCAGACCTCAGCAAGGATATTTTGAGCCTCAAAGCTTGTCTAATATCTCTCCCAAGTACATAGTTTGTCCAATAACATACATTACAACAAATCTTGCTTCTCAAATGATCATAACAACAGCGAATCTCCCTCAGGGAGTCTGATTCTCCACTCCATGTAGGAATGAGTCAGGGGGTGCGTGTGCACCACTATGATATGCCACCTTTTGCTTCCCTAAATTCTTGGATACTCCAGGCCTGCCCACCTCCTTCATAGGTCAGAGCATTTTAAGGACTGCTCCAGGCCCTTGTTGGCCACTGCAGTAGTCAGGAATGGCCAAAGCATAGAGTGGGCATGTCTATGCCTGAAATTAATGTGTATGAATAAACTCAGAAGCTTATTGCTCCAGAGTTTTTTTGTTCCTGGGCACACCATTTTAATGTGCACCCAGGAGCAAAAAACTCCAGAGCACATTGTCCTGCAGTTTTTTTATGCACAGCACTTGGAGCCCAGTCAGAGCAGCCGGGGGAGGGGGAGGGGCTGAGGCAGGAGGGTGCTGTTGGCTAGCCCCCTGCTGAAGCACCTTCCTGCCTTAGCCAGCCCAGTCACCATCTACATATGTGCTGCAGTGCACAAAACAATGCTGCTGCAGAATAGCACTTATGTTTAGCCGGACTATCTTGTGGCAGCATGTATTAGTCTACTGCAACCTAATAGGGTCGCACATGTAGATGGTGATATTTTATTGCACAGTAAATTAGTGTACTGTGCAGTAAACATCTTGCTTAGACATGCCCAGTGTGCTCCAGCCATGCCCTTCTCCAGCAAATCCTATAGCTGAGGGGTTGCAACATGGAGTTGTGTAGAGCTGGCAATACCAGGTCTATACCAACTGGCAGATCCCCTACTTGAGAAGCATTCCTCAGAGAATTGATTCACTGCCTTTATAGCTGTTGGATCAGCACATAAAGACCATTGAGTAAAACTGGGCGCCTAAGAGGAAAGTTCATTTTCCACATACAGGCCTAACAAATAATACTGGATTTTACTATGCCACACCACAGTGAGTGTGTGTAATATGCCACACTATGACTTAGCATTACATGGCACAACAGAAATTCAGTATGTTGCAAAAGACTCTGTCTTTAAGAAAACTTGACTACATATAAAAGGTGAGGTTGAAGAGAAGCATCCTCCTAATCCTTCCGAATCCCATTATCTTGCAGGTACCTGCCACTTGATGTCTAGATGGAGAGCAGTAAAAACTGGCACCAAGCAAGATGTTCCACTTTCACTGGATGCCTGTCCTACACTGGCCTTCTTACACCTGAACAGGTAATAAACAACATAAAGAACAGAACTGAAGTAGTCAGCCTGAAAACGAGCTCAGTCTCCTGTCCCTGATCAAAAAAGGACCCTAGTGTGTGAGTCTTTGGGCAACTGAGATGCTTCAGGACACAAATGAAGGGAGAGATGCATCCCAGATTCATTAGAGACAGTTAAACCTGATTCATCCTGTCTCCAACCACTCCCTGCCCTGTCTCCTAAAAAGGGAGAATACTAAGGCGTTCTCCATTCAGGGTCAGGTGTCAGAGACAGATCTGTATAAAACCCAGCTTCTTGTGTGAGTCAGAGTTGTTTGGGAACTGCTTCAAGCTACTGGAAAAAACCAACTAGTTTATTAGCTGGGGTGACTCTCAAGCTAATTCACCTCTACTGGAAAAGAGGTGAGCTAATGAAAACTTGTAATATGAAATTAAAAGGGCTTGAAAATAATTCCAAAGTGCTATTTAGCATTTTCTATCTTCAAAGCATTGAACAAGCAGTATCTAAGTAGTTCTCACAACCCTCCTGTGGGGTACTATCCCTGTTTTACAGATGCGGAAAAGTGAGGTACAGAATAAAGTGACTTACCTAGCACGAGAGTGTCAGAGACAGGACTCAAATCAGCAGTTCCTGGCTCCTTTGCTCAGTTCATGTGGCTTCCCTCATAAGCACACAACTATGCAACAATTCTTAGTGACCAGGCTTACTGGCATGTATAAACCTTTCTCATTTAATTTATAATAAGCACATCCATGTCTTCAATACATTCACATACGACTACTCCCTAAAATACATGCTTTTATTTCTTCATATAGGGTTAAGTTACACATTATACTTAGACCATACTAAGGGCATTTAAAATGCTAGCATCCACACACTAAAACTCCTTAACTTATGCTAAGTGTCCTCTGAATGTCTCAAAGTTCACTTGTGCCACTTCAGACAAGGATTAACTCTGGGCCATGCTACCTAATTTTTATTAGAGTAACTTCAGTCTGCTCTGCAGAGCTAAAATGAGCAATTTTCAGTCTTCTAGTATCCCAGGATGCACTTCTCTCAGCTCCTACCCTTCTGTGTCCTGGTTCTAGCTACGCCCCTGCTCACCAGTTTTCTAGCAGCAAGTCAGAGCTGTACAGGCAAGAAGCAGTTTTAATCCTAAATATGCAACTGCTCACAGCATATTCTAACTTTAACACTGCTTAACATTCCAGAGATTTAATATGGTCCAAGTGTAATGTGTAACTTCACCCATATAGAGAGTGAAAAATTAAAAGGGACTCCCTCCCAGTGGATACTATTTTACATCTGAAACATCACAAATGTTATTCTACATACAGGCATGAGCCCCCTACATGGAGGCAGGTACAGATCCTCAATATGCCTAGGAAAGGCCAGTGGCCAGATTCCCTCACTGGGCATCCCGGATAGGGATTTTTTCATGGATTTTTCTACACCCAGTACCCCTGTGGATTAGGACAGACTGGGGACAAGACCTATGCTCTTATCTCCCTGCTTCTCTGGGAATCAGTGGATACCCAGGGAAGAAGCAGTCATTACACTCCCTGAATCATGAGGTCTTTATATTAGTAATAGGAGCAGGGCAGGGGGGTACTTATGCTTTCCCATGTAACAACCAGGCACAGCCTAGACCTTTGCTTGTGCACATGCCTCCAAAGGGTTTTGTATGTGCACAGCTGGAGATTGAAGGCCTTCATCTGTTCACATAGGTGCGAGTGCCTGGAAGGTGTTTGCAGGGCATTTGTATATATACAAAAGGAGTCTCCTTTGAGAGGGGTTCCAGATGAACTGTTTGGCTCCCCATTTGGTTATGTTTGCCAGGCATTTAAGGCTGATGAAGAAACAGGAATCATTAGAAATGGGAAAGAAAGGCACAGCTAAGTTGTGGGAGCAAAGAGGAAGTTGAAACATTTGAAATTTTAGTGGCTCACCATGACTTGAAAAAGAGTTGGTGATAAGGGGGAGTGCACCTAATGGCCATTGCTACATATCTTATTCATATGGGCTATACTAATTTATCCTTGTGGTAGGTCACACATTTTATTTTTAGGGAGATGGAGGATTTCTCCCTTGATTGCTCCTTTGGCCTTTTGTTTAAGGGCAAGCAAGACTTGGAGATGTCTGGACTCCAAGGCCTCTGGAATTAAGGCCTGTACATAGGATGCCTGCCATGGATCTGGGAGCATCTGAAGCCCCAGGCTGAAGAGTCTGGAAGGGAGGATACTTGCTGGTGGTAGTACCACAGACTTGAATGATTGAGCTCTGCTCAGTTGATATAATACAGAACTGATTTGGCTAATTTGGCCTAAAACACAAAATTAAAGGGAAAAAAGCATGTTTGCCCAATAAAAGCCATGTTATAGTCATGATCAGTATTGGTTACATTTAATCGATGTAGTTGGTTTCCATTACTGAGTACATGCTACTAGAGAAAAAAACATAGCGTGTATTCAGGTAAAAATAGTATTATTACTGTAGCATGTAAAAGCACTGGCTGTGTATCATGATTTTGTTGTGCCAGACACAGAACCAAAGGACAGTCAAACGCTGAACCAAAGGACAGTCCCTGCCTCAATATCAGAGCATCATGTTGGTGAATTTATGAGTTCATGCTGCATGCTAGACAATAAATAGCTATTTTTGAATAATATTTGAGTTAAAGCCAAATGGGCTCCATGATGGGCAGAATGGTTGCAGATAACATAAGAGTTTTCAGCAAGACTCAGTGTCAGAGGCCGTCTCCAAAGCCTTAGCCTTGATAGAGTCAAGCCTATATAATGATAATTTTCTTCACTAAGTATATTGGTCAGAAATCTGCTGTGGCATCCTATGTTTTAAGCAGGCAGTGCTAATTTTCAGGGATACTCCCTTTCTCCAGGCTTGTTATATATTTG